TAGATAGATAGATAGATAGATAGATAGATAGATAGATAGATAGATAGATAGATAGATAGATAGATAGATAGGGAATCAATAGTTACGATAATACACACAAATAATTAATTTATCAGAAACGAGCCAAACCAATACCGAAGAACTCGTTTTCAGAATTAAACCGCCATCAGACCTACACACAAAATTACATGTTTACACATTTTCTCCCGCCGTATCAGTCAATAATACAATAATACTGATTGTTTGTTTGTCAGTGTTTTTATTGTACTTTGTTTTGTTTATTCCTCGTCAAAGTATTACGGCACTTACAACACAAATAGGTCATATAAGTGCCGAAGATTTTAGGAGTTACTAGAACGTGGCTTACAATGAAAAGTAGGAAGAGAGAAAAGACAAGGACAGTATAATTATGTTTGCTACCAAAGAAGAAGCAAACCACACCAGAGCACCCACCAGGCACCCACAAAGCAATAACATTTCTGACACTAACAAGACCAATTACAGTAGTTTGAAACAATGTTACTTTTCATTTCAACAAATAAATGTTACTGTTCATTTAAACAAATAAATGTTACATTTTCATGTCGACAAACGAAATTTGTGGACAATTTCACAATTTAAAGTTGGAAACCAATAATTGTAAACCAGCCCAACCTTACACCTTCTGATCATACTGGTGTCGCTGATGTAAAAACAATTATTTCTTCAATTTCTCAAAATCTTGTCTGCGTCTCATTTTCCACTCACCCCCACCCCTGCCTTTCCCTCCATCCCCTCTTTCGCCCTACATTCCCCTTCCAATACAACTCTCTCCCCAAACCTCCCCCTCTTTCCTCCCCCCCCCCACACTCTTTTCGTCCTACTCTTCTGTCTTGACAGCACAGAATAAGTTGCTCGTCATGTTTTTATGAGGCAATCGAGTTATCGGTAAAATCTTAAAACCTGTTCAATTATCTTGCTTTTGATTCATTTATTTTTTTAAAGAATGTCCATTTACTTTGAAAAGACAGCCGTCATTGGCAAAAATTTGCGAGAAAGTGTTCGCCAAAGTTTGGCTACTTTCAAAGCTTGAGAGTCATTGGAAACTTTAATAAATGTACATGTTTGCGCCCTTGATCAAGCGTTTTCAATAAAATCCTTACTCAATAAATGTGCATATTTTTAATGGACCTAAAAGGTGTTCAGCTCACACACCCCTCCCCCCATCCAATATAAAAAAAAATAATTTAAAAATTGCCCAACGGGCAAAAACATGTCGGTGTCTTTAATATCACTTTTAGCGCCTAATTTCACTACAATGCGTAACCGAATTAATTATTTCCTTCCCTTTCCACCCTTACAGCCCCTTACACTCATGCCCCCC